GTGCAGTCACTTTCCTGGCCTCGGATACGTCGATCAAGCAGTGGCGAGTCGTCCTGGCTTGCCTATAAGCCTACCAAAGGATGTTCTCCTAAGTTTCTGTGATCTGCACGAAGTTGTCTTAGAACATTTCTGGCTGAGACTGTCTAGTTTTATCACATCGGGTTTATGTTCGAAGAACATTGCTTTTGCTATATTCGAACATTTCTGGGTTCTAAGAATCTTTCGTGGTAGGCCAATAGGAATGCCAGGACGGTCGGTCCCTGCTCAAGTCGGGCCGGACGCCGTCTGCCGCAACCCGCAGTCTCTTGACGCGCATACGGCGTGACGTTCATGGTGTATTGCTGCTGGGCACGGCGTCGGAGGGCACCGGGTCGACGGCCCTCGCCAGCGCTGTCGCCATGGAGGGCCTTGCTTTAGCGCGCGCAAGATAAGCAGAGCAGGTCTGCGAGGCCCTATGCTGCTTGGGGCGCTCACGGTGCCATCGGCGCACCGCGCAGACAGCGTGGACGATCTTGGTCCATTCTCCTTCCCGCTAGCTCGACTACGCTATGCTTTTGTGCGCCCGTGGCCTACTTGATGTAGCGAGGGCGCGGTTGCAGGCTGCAGTTGTCCTGGGGCGTGAGGTGCTAAAGGGGTCTCCGTTGGGCGTGGCCGACGTCGATACGGCGCGGCTGCCGCCGTGCCTCAGCGGGCTGGGGATTCGCCTCCCTGCGGAGCCGGAGACCGACGCGAGCTACCTCGCATGCTGGTCCACTGATGTGCACGATGTCCAGCGCCTCGCAGCCACCCTCGGGCGCCCGCTGCACCACGACCCCGACGCCAAGCTCGCCAGCGAGGCTGCTTCGTGATTGCGGGCGTTTGGGGTGGACTTCGCGCCAGGGCTCGGCGTGGCCTTCACCGCGGCGGCGCAGATTGAGTACGCTGGCGGGCCGCTCGACGGTGACACCCCCGTGTCGGGCAGTTTTGTCGGCGACATCGACGACTCCTCACCGGCACCACGCGCAGGCGCAGGCAACGCTGCAAGCGGGGGCCCAGCCGCTGGCAGCCCAAGCAGGCTTGAGGGGGGCGCGAGGAGCGCCCCAGAGCGTCCCGAGGGGGCCCAGAGCCCCATGATCACAACCAGCGTTTGTTTAATCGTGGGCCCTGGGGGAGCCGCCGCGGCCGCTGGGCGCGATGCTGGGGGGGCCAGTTGCCGGGGCTGTTGCTCTGCCGGCGGCGCAGCGCGGCGTCGAGGGTGGCCCCCTGCTGATCCAGCGCGATATGGAGGGAGCCCGCCGACGGCAGCTGGGGCACCTCTTTCGCGGCCTCGACGCCCTGTGGGCCATGAGGCTCCGGCGCAGCATCGCCGACGACGACGAGCGCCAGCGGAATCTGCTCTCGCGCGCTGGCCGGCTCGAGGCTTTGGCAAGCGGCCTTCCTCGGGCGGCTGGGCGCCTTGTTCGCTCCCCCGGGCCACCTGCAAACTGCGGCGCACCGCTGCCGTCGAGGACGCGGGCGAGGAAGTGCGGGAGTGCGGCGAGGTGCTCGGCCGGCGCGCTGCGCACGCTTTGGCGCGCCCCAGGAACGCCACACGGCTGCGGGTTCATACCAGGGCCGCGCGCGGTCTCGAGGAAAACCTTTGCTCGGCGGCCGACTTCGTCGACTTGGAACGGTGGATGCCTGAGCTCTACTGGACGCTGCTGGACGGCACGATCCGGGATGCTGTCATGGAACTCGTCATCGCCTTCTCTGCCAGGGCCGAGCCCTGGTGGCTGGACGTCCCCGTCCGGTCGCCCATCAATCCCTCGCTGGCTGACACTGGCCGCGCCCCCGGAGCCGCCGCTGCATCTGGCGGCCGGGCCAAGGCGACGCGCTTCGGCGAGCAGATGCGCAGCATCGCCGTCGAGGCGGGCGGGCGCCTCAGCGCTGGCGCCGCCGCGGCGCTCGTGGAGCTCGCGGCCGCTTCGCAGGTGCACGGTCGCCGCCCTCGGCCAATAGCCCGCCGCTGGCGCGACAGGCAGACTGCATCTTGCCCTCGGCCACCAGGAGGTGTTCAGATCATCATCGTCATCACCACGGCCATCCTCAACATCATCAGCAACATCCACGTCAGCATCAGCATCAACACCAGCATCAACATCAGCGTCATTTCGTATCATCAGCGTTCTCATCTCGGGCCAGGCGAAAGGGGGGGATTGGGAAAGGGGGGGATACGAAATTTGCTGCATGCAGCTGGTTTCGGCCTCACCGAGGGGCCCATTCCTCGATACATGGGCGCATCCCGGCGCCGGGAGGCGCCGGGAAAGTCAGCTACGTGAGCTGATTCTCAAACCCCCCCTTTGCTATCCCCCCCTTTCGCCTGACCCGATCATCACCAGCAACGACAGCCAATTTACGACTACTCGTTCTGATACGCTCGCACGCCACTCGACATGTGTACCCCGAAACTGTCGATGCCCACCTTTCGTCTTCAATCGCACCCCCCCTTGGGGATGATTTTCCTTACCTGCAACTTGTCATTGGCGCAACCCCTCGAAACAGGGGAAGACAGGGGAGGGGAGTTAGGTACAGAAAAACAAGTGACGTGCCAGGCGGGCGGGCCTTATAGCGGGCGGGTCGCGCGGGCGGGCCCAAACGGCCGGGTCGAGCGGGCGGGTCGATGAAGCGTCAATCTTGCATGGAACGATACCACGATTCTCAAGAAAATCGTTTGGATGTCTATAGCGAGAGCGTGATTCCTGAGTATCGAGGGCGTGGCGTTCCATTAATTTGGGAGGAAGTCCCACGCGAGAGTCCGTTTCCAGCACAAATTGTGAGGACGTCCCGCGCGAGAGCGCGAATTTGAATAATTTGCCAGGAAATATCCGGCGAGAGCCGTTGATGTTGCAAAGCGGGGGGGGCGCCAACCCAGCCAGAGGCCCAAGATTTCCCCATGTAAAATCCAGGTGCGAGCCCCGGGAGGGGCACGTTGAAGGAAGGGGATCAGCAATCACTATTTCGTAGGAGTGGGATTTCAGAGCCAACGTCAACATCAATATCAGCATCACCATACGCAGCAACATCATCATCATCATCATCATCATCATCATCATCATCATCATCATCAGCAGCAGCAGCAGCAGCAGCAGCAGCAGCAGCAGCACCATCATCCGAACCCCGAGAGGCAGAGGGCCATCGGGCTGAAGGCATTCAAGAGAGCGGTCGGCGAGGCCGGCTTCACAGGCGACGCCGCCGCCGCGTGGCGCGCCCTAGGCCTCGGCGACAAGGGCGGCCTCACGCTGAACCGGCTTCGGAGAAGAAGACGTTGCATAAACAGAAACGTTCGGAGTTCCGCGCGGATTTCGCTGTCAGCAACTGCATGCAACAGTTTTTGCATATTCTTTTTTCCCTGCTCCCTCCCTTTCGCCCGACCCGACCCTCCCACTGCCGATCCTGTCTCCCTCTTGGAGGGGCAAGCAGCGGCATACACATGCATTGTCGGAGCTCCGCGCGGATTTCTTAGATCGGCGCTGGGCCCCCTCCCTGCGCCGCGGAGCGCGCCAGGGGCTGCGCAGGAGACGCCGCCAGGGGAGGATCAGCGCAGATACAAGATATCCGCGCGGAGCTCCGAAAGTTTCTGCTTCCGCTGTTGCTTCTGCCTCCAAGGCTGGAGCCTGGCCTCGGCAGCGACCTGCGGCGGCTGCGCGTACACTTGGCCGCCCGCTTCGGCTCCCTGCAGTCCGCGTTCGAGCAGGCCGACAGGGACGGCAGCTACCAGCTCTCGCCACGGGCCTTCGCCAAGCTTTGCAGCGGCTCCCACCTGGCGGGCGACGAGTCGAAGCTGTTCGAGTTCTTGGACATGGAGGGCTCACAGGCTGTGGCTCTCAGTAGCATCGACCAGAAGGCGGTGCAGGCCGTGAAGGACAAACGGGCACGCCTAGAGGCCGAGCGGGCTGAGCGTTGGGGAGAGGGGCTCGACGCGCAGCTGAACATCCACGGCGTCCACGACAAGGCCATGGCCTTCCGCCAGTTTCTGGAGCGCCGGTTCGGGAAGGTGCTGCGGGCGTGGATGGCGGTAGACAAAGGTGGCCGCTCCGCCCTGACGAAGCTGGAATTCATGAACAGCCTGCACGTCACTGGATACATGGGCAGCCCAGACTGTCTGTGGAGGGCCCTCGTCAAGGACAGGCCCCTCATCTCGTTCCGCGAGTTTCACCCAGACGCCTTCCGGGCCATGGCGAGGTTCCGAGGCGCCTGCGCGAGGCACCTGAAGAAGTTCGCCCGTGCGTTCCAGCCCCTGGGCTCCGAGGAGCCCGGCCTGCGGCTCTCGGAGGACGAGTTCCTCGCGCTCTGCCGCAGGGTCCGGTGCCCGAAGCCCTGGGGCCCGCTGTTCAAGCAGCTCTGCGTGCACGACGACAGGCAGGGCCCATTTCGATTCGATTCGATTCGATTTCGGTCGATTCGGATTCCGATGTGATTCGATTTCGGATCCCGATGTGGCTTTCAGCTTATCTATGGGGGCCCCACAAGCCTGCCGATTTCCGCCGATTCGATTCCTTTCGATCGCCGCTCCGATTTATCGATCCGAGTCTGGTCTCTCCTGCGACAGGTGAGCGGCACAGAACAAAGCAGGATCGTCTGCGTCGACATTGGCGCGTAGGCTTCCCGCGTAAGGTCGCGCGTAAGCGCCCTCGTCTCCAATGTGGTGTGCCGCGCTGGCGGCCCGCGTAAGCCACCGCGTAAAGTCGCTATGGCATCGTTCGTAAACCAGTGAACCCGTTCCGTCGCCCAGGTGCGTCAGTTGGCAGGACGTCAGCTGGCTCGAGGAGCAGTGGCAGTGGGACGGCCCGCTGGCGAGACCGGTCCGCAGGTGCCTGCACCGGGATAGCGTCCTGAGCACGGGCGCGGGGCAGAGGCCGAGCACGTGGCTCAGCACCGCGTCCCCGCCGCGGCAGCGCCCGGCCACGGCCGCGGGGGCGGCTGCTCCGCTGGCGAGGGCGGCGTCACGCCCCGCGTCGACCCCAGGCGGCGCCAGGCTGCAGGATCTCGGCTACACGTGAGGGTGACATTTCGCCAGTGTGACCCCAGATGCGGGTACACTGAGGCCCAGCGATGACTGAGCGCGATGCGACAGCAGCGTTTTGCGCGCCCGGGTTTGGCCTCCCAACGGCCCCCATCGGGCGGGGCTGGGACGAGGATAAATACATTCCAGAGCGTTCCGGGACGCTCTCAGAGCGTTCCGGAACGCTCTAAAAAGGCCGCGGCGCCCGATTGCATGATCCAGAGCCTTGTAACCAGGGGGGGCTGGACAGCTCTTGATTTGCCAAAACGCCAAAATCGATTTTAAATCGGGTTATAATAGGTTTTGGCGAAAAACAGAAAATCGGTTTTTTATCGGGTTTAGATAGGAGTTGGGAATTCGCTTTGTTGGCCCTGCGAAGGCCTCTTGTGTCCTGATGATGGGGTCTGGGAAAGGTGGGGAAATCTGGGGCCACTGTGAAATCAATGGGGCCTACATTGCTTCGCAGAAGCACTCATCGCATCCCAAGTAGTCGTCGTGGCCCCTGGCGTTGTTCATTACCGCAGTTGAGCGCGAACAATGGGACCGAACCTGCCCAATCAATGATGGCGACGATGGCCTGCCCCGCGCGATCAGACGCCCTAGCGTTTGCCCCGCCCCCCGCACAGACACGCAAACATCTTGCGCCGATGCAGGCGCGCCTCGGGCGAAGAGATCCTTTTGCCCCAGCGTAGGAAAAAACAAACGGAACGGATCCCTGGCGGAGACGGGAAACATGCATGAGCTCGAAGGGGGGCGGGGCGGGGGGGGCTGAGAACGGAGCGAGGGGCGAGGAAGACGGAGGGGGGTGAGAGGGGGGATGGGAATTCATGGGGGGGGGAGGGAGGAGGAGGACGACGAGTGGAGAGGGAGGACGGGAGGGAGGGAAGGCAGAACGGATGATGGACATGAAGGGAGGAAGGGGCGGAGGGGGGGGGGGGAGGGGAACGCGACAGGAGACGCATGCTAACCAAACAGTGCTTGCGATCGCGCCCGACGACAAACCAAATGAAATTAAGCTGCGGTTCTGGTGGTATACGCCCCACACTTACAACAGTATCTGGGCCCCTTCGGGCCACCCAGCTGCTCGTTGTGATGCGAGAGGCACCCTTCACAAACAACCCCGCGCGGCTCTTTGCATACATAGCAAGGCCGAAACCAAACATAAACGCTTCTTGACCCTTGCGTTCGCGACTCGATCCAGCATCCTTCGATGTCCCTGGCATGGTTTTCGGTGTATTGCCTTTGGCCGCAAGGGCAAGGCTTTGCCTTTCGATGCAAGCACTGGTTGGGCGGTGTCCTCGACGCGCCGAGGCTTCTTGCTAAGACACAGGTTGCAGGCCCCGTCGCAGTTTACGCTTTTCAGGGTTAGGCCCATTGCCGTCATCACCGCCCCTGCACGCGCGGGGTCTAGACATGTTTGCTCACGCGTCCGCCTCCCTTGAGGGCGGCGCCCAGTTGTGCCAACATTATTTCTTATGTTGTGGGAGGGCGGCTGGGAATGAACGAAGCCCGCCGACTCGATCTGTCATCCTTCCTCCTCTCCCCTTCCTTGCCCTGGCTCCATCCCCCTCCCTCCCCCTTCCCTTTCCCCCCCATCGTTCCGCAGCGTTTTGGCGCGATGATTTTGTTCATCGTGTGCGCCATTCGGCATTGCACGCCAGAGTGGCCCACTGCACCACCTCCGTGTCAGTTAGATCCATATGCCAGTGGCGACCAATCGTTGGAGTCACTTCTTCGTGAATGTGTAGCTAGTGATGCCGACGTCGCCGACGACCTGAGTTTGCAAGAGCTCCTGGGCGGCATCATCGATTCAGATCCTGATTTTCATCGCTCGGACGCCGAGCCGCTGCCAGTTGTTCCTCACGCCGCGGCCATCGCCCATCGGCCCCTGCGAGATGATCTTTCATTGGTGGCGTCGCGCGCCCCATATGACATGAATGACATTTTGGCGAGAGTTGAGGCAGATGGATCGTGGAATTACATCAGCACTTTTATTGATGGTCTGGGGGCCCTCTTGGCGACGGATGCTGGCGATCAGTTCCTGTCCAGAAGCGGCCTCGCATGCGTGGGCGCCTGCGCGGGGGCCCGCGACACAGTGCCGTTCAGTTCGATTGCAGATTCAGCACAACAGGACTTTTCGTGCGTGATGGACCGCTACCTGTTCTATTCAGCGTGCGCCTTTCAGATCGAGCGCCGTCGGGCTCTGGACACATTCAAGACACTAGCTCGTGCGTTGCTGCCACTGGCGGGGCAGCGCTACGGTACTCAGTCCACGTCTCCATGGACGAGACACCTCTATACCATAAGGTCCGCGGCCACGAACGCATCATATACGCCACCATAGACGCAGCGAACGAGACAGGCGAGACCAATATCATCACTGCAGAGCTCGGCAAAGCAGAGACAGAGCACCGCGGCCAGGTGGTCGCTTACGAGTTGAAGATCGGCGCTGTGTTCAGGATGCCTCCTCGAGACGGCGACGCTGGGCCGAAGCACCTTCGCGTGATGGCGGAACTGCCGTGCACGCTCACGAGCGTTGACCGCAAGACAGCAGAGATCTACGCGCACATCGGGAAGATGCAAACGGCTGGTATTCATGATGAGCTGGGTGGTCTTTTCCAGAGGTTCGATCGCACTTCGATGTCGGACGGGGATGGGGCCATCGCCAAGGCAGAGCGGCACCTTGGCCGAGCTGAAGAAATCTCACACAGGCGTGGCAAGATCCATCTGTTGCAGGGCGCCCACGAGAAAAGTAGCGGGTCGGTCTTCGACGAAATTTAAAGGCTGCCGCCTCTGCCGCCGACCCCAACTCAGGCCTCGTGTTTTCTTTGGTTTCAGGTGGTCCCCGCGGGCATTCCTGCAACAGGGGGGTAGTGTTCATATGGAGTATGGGCAGGCCAGGGCAATGCGCGCGTGTGTTTGGGCGTGTTATTTCCTCTCTTTCTCTCGCTCTCTTCCTCTCTCCTTTGTGTCTTCTGCGGTTGTCTTCGAATCTTTTGCGGGAGTTTTGGGTCCATCTGGGGCGTCTTCAGAGGCTAGGGGAGCGGGCTTGGGGGCTTCTTGGGCGGTCGTGGAGCGTCGGAAAGCTGGAAAGCGAAAAACATTGAAACATCCAATGGGAATCGATGATTTTGGACTGCTGGGGCGGCGGGATGCCGGGGCGCGGTGGGGGGCCCCGGCGAGGATTTTGCAGAGTCGGGGGCCCCAAAAACAGAGCTCCAGAGGCTTGGGGAGCGGTCTTCGGGGCTTCTTGGGCGGTCGTGGAGCGTCGGAAAGCTGGAAAGCGAAAAACATTGAAAAAGTCAATGGGAATCAACGATTTTGGCTTGTTGGGGCGGCGGGGTGCCGGGGCGCGGCGGGGGGTCCCGGCGAGGTTTTTGCAGAGTCCGAGCGCCCAAAAACAGAGCTCCAAGAGCTTGGAGGGCGGTCTTGGGGGCCTCTTGGGCGGTCGTGGAGCGACGGAGAGCGGGAAAGCGAAGAACATTGAAACAATCAATGGGCATCAACTATTTTGGCCTGTTGGGGCGGCGGGGTGCCGGTGCGCGGTGGGGGGCCCCGGCGAGGTTTTTGCAGAGTCGGGGAACCCAAAAACAGAGCTCCAGAGGCTTGGGGAGCGGTCTTCGGGGCCTCTTGGGCGGTCGTGGAGCGTCGGAAAGCTGGAAAGCGAAAAACATTGAAAAAGTCAATGGGAATCAACGATTTTTGCCTGTTCGGGCGGCGGGGTGCCGGGGCGCGGCGAGGGGCCCCGGCAAGGTTTTTGCAGAGTCGGGGGGCCCAAACACAGAGGGAGGTTCCGATTGAAAACCCCCGCAAGAGGATCCGCGTTGAAGCCTTCCACAAAAAAGAGTCCTTAAGAAATCCGCCGCGAAAAGACTCCGATTGGAATCTTCCACGGAAGGATCCCCACTGAAATCCTCCGCAGAAGGATTCCGATTGAAATCCTCGCAGGAGGAGGAGGGGGGAGAGAAGGAGGAGGAGGAGGAGGAGGACAGGGGGGGGGGGAGGAGGAGGAGGAGCAGGAGGACGAGGAGGAGGAGGAGGAGGAGGACGAGGAGGACGAGGAGGGGGAACCTGGAACGCAACGATGACAGTTTTTCCCAACCATCCTGTGGTGTTGGGTCCTCGTTTTGAAGAGACGTCGCCCCGCGTTCCTTCCTTCTCCTCCTTCCTCCTCCTCCCTCCTCCCCCCTCCCCCCCCTCCCCCTCCTCCCCTCCACGCCCAGTGGCTCAGGAAGCTGGAGTTGAGGACTGACAAAGACACAGGCCGGCGCGTGGTCAACGCGAAGCAGTTCGAAATGGTGAAGCAGGTAGCAGAGAGGGTGATGCAAGAGCTGGACGGGGAGGCACGAGGGGGCGCGGGCATGGGTGACCCGCTGCGTTGGTGCATGCACGGAGGGCCCGGCACAGGGAAATCGCACGTGCTGCGCATTCTGCGGAAGGAGCTGTTCGAAGACATCATGAAATGGACGATTGGCGTCCATTTTCAGATCACGGCCTTTCAGGCAGTTATGGCGCAGCTGCTCGGTGGAGACACCATGCATCACGCATGCGGTATTCCCGCCGTGAAACGCGGCGACGACAAAGGTGAAGATGTGAAACTTCAGTACGACACAGCGAAGCGAGTCCTGCAGTGGAGGTGGTTGTTCATCGACGAGATCAGCATGGTCAGCGCCCGGCTGCTCGCCGAAGTAGACCAGAAGCTTCGCAGCGTCATTCGGGACGTGGGCACCCAGAAGCGCGGGGAAGACGGAGTGCCGCGGCCCTTCGGCGGCTTGAACGTCGTGCTGAGCGGAGATTTTTGGCAGCTGGCACCTCCGGACGGAGGGTTCCTTGCAGACGTGCCAACAGAGCGCATCGCGGAGGCTCGGAAGTATACCTCGCTCCCGCCAGTGCTACATGGGCAAGCTCTCCTGTGGGGTGGTGGTCAAGAGGGCGTGCAGGGAGTAACAGAGCTAGTGGAGTGTGAGCGCTGCGACGACG